CCCCTGGGATTTATTTCATATATATACACACATGCATACATATATGTATATATATGGATATGGATGTATATGTATTTATATATGTGTATATAATTGGATGTGTGTGTGTGTGTGTGTGTGTGTGTGTATTACACTATATAATATATTACAGGGATAAATAAAAAACTGAAGCTGTAGAAATTTTTAAAAATAGAATGGCAACAAAGAGATACTGCATAATAAATTAAATTCCTGCTCTTCATCTCTTATCTTTGCTTACACTTGTTGCATGCTGAAGTGCTTTAAATGGTTATGAAACATAATTAGACATTCTTTTAGAGATCCTCTTCTAGTCCAATTCTCCTATCTTGCTTTGGAGGCTCATGGGTAATCATAGGGAAGAGCCTTCGGCAAGGCGAATTAGTGAGTTGCTGCACTCGTTGGTGTCCTGGCACCAGCTCTTGCAGGGTTCAAGGATGCGCACGGGCAGGCATGAGCAGTACCACACATTTGATAATAATGCTTACATGGAGGCCCCGGGCATGTAGCAATCAGGTGTGTGTAGTAAGGGCCTTGTTTTGTGAGCTATAAGGGCAATTACTGAATATGAGTCTGACTTTTCTGTTTTTGACATACCACGGAGGAAATTAATTCTGGGGAAGAAAGGGCTGGCAGAGAAAATAAATAAGGGTGAGTGTTGGAAGGAGAATCATAAAAATTGTGACTTACCAGAAACAAAAATTTAGAAATGGACTTCATATTTTCCTCCACGATCATCACTGCTCATACTGATTCTTCCATGAAGTATAAATGAAAAATCACCTGACATAAGATGCAGTTATATCCATTTTGCCATTAATTAACAATGATGATGATAATTATGGTGATTATTACTGACATGAATGAGCTGCTAAGTGTATGCCAGTTACTGCTCTAAGCACTTAGTTTTCAGAGCGAATCTATGAGGTCGTTATTAGAGAATGATGACCTGTACTTCATAGTTGAAGGAAACAAGAACTCCCCCTCAGATTTCTGAATTTATTAAATCAATAGGCAGTCAGCTCCCTCTTTTTAAACAGCAATATCTTGAATCATGGGAAAACACAGCTGATACTTCAATGTTGAGCTTCAGGCTCTGGAAGATTCATAATATTCGAAGAGGCTTAATTTTAAAAGAAATTAATTGGCCACAGTTTCAGAAGGGTGCCCGAATGCAGCTGTTGAAATAATAAGGTTATTTTCAATCATTTCAGGGGATCAAGGAGCATGGGCAGAGCTTGTGTTACTCAGGCTAACAAGAGCATTCAATTAACCCAAACACTCACTCCTCAATTGCATCAAGAGCTGCAAGAAGAAGAAAAGCTGTCAGTCCTGCTGTGTTTAACCCTGCTGCATCTTAGTGGCTAGTCATTATTTTCCATGTGTATAATATCTAAAGAATGCACAGAGAGCATCATTCTTTCTACTAATACAGACTTCCTTATTGATAGTCTGGTTTACAACAAAATTTCCTGGAAGAAAATACCTAATTCATTTCAAGATAGAGATGGTCTTTCCAATCATTAAAGTAGAGGTGGTAAAAAGAAAACAAATTGAAACAAAGATTTTGCTAAAAGAAATCTTTGCCCATGCAATGGAAGATTAGATATCCTTGGCCAAATATAGATATAATTTTATTTCAAAGAGAGTTAAGTCTTACAAGCACCAATGAACATAGAATTTACTGATAATATTTTGTCCTAGAAATGTTGCATGTATACTAAATGGAAAGAAAACATAATCCGTTATATGGATGGAGAAATCAGGACTACATTTATTAGATCTGCTTGTTTTTTCTAACTACCTTTTTCCCACAGTAAAATAATGAATATTATTTTCTATTACTTTCTGTAGTCCTGGTTTTCATTATTTTGTTCTTATCTTTAACAACTGAACATGCATGCAATTATAATTGAGAAAATTTATATCTGTGTGAGTAACATATATAAAATCATGAAATTGGGACAGGAATTAGTGTAATGGTTATGTCGCTGAACTCCCATGTAGCCAACTGTGGTTTGAGTCCCGGACCCAGAGGCTTAAACTCATGCTGGGCACATGTGCGTGCGTGCCCAAGATCCTGAGAGGAGAATGGTAGAGAAGGGATTGTGGCATGGCCATCCTCCCTGGAGGGTGATTTCTCACTTTCTATCTCCCTTTTTCTCTTTGTCTTTCTGGTGAGCACACGCACCCTATAGCAAAAACCTCTCAAAAAAAAAAAATCATGAAATGGAAATTATGTTTCTTGGCTTCAGGTATTCTTGAATCACATACTTTACAATCCCTGAGGATTTATGAGTCTAAATGAAAATTGTACATTTACAGTAATCATTCATGTGATTAAGTCAGGGACAAAATGCACCCATGGACAAAATTAACACAATGATGTCCTCAATGCCACACTTCAAAGTTTGTATGCACAAATAATTACATTTGGAGACTGTAGGAAGTCATAGCTACTGCTTCTGTGAGTTTTACTGGGTTTCCATTGGAAACAAAGTATTTACTGATGGAAACAGAGTCATCAGAGTCAGCTCAGTCTCTGTAATTTGGGACTTTTCAGCAGTAAAAGGAAAAGAGTGTGCTATGTGTTGTCTGAGATAACCTCTGGCTCTAATGGTTCATCTAACATCACATAAATGGAACTCTACCCATAATTTTAATGTTTGATATCATGATTTGTTTTTAACTGAGCTTTTCTTTCTCCTTTTGAATTATCTGATAATAACATGTTAGGATTGGAACTGACCAGGATCGTCGTATCAAGCTCATTAAACTTTCTAATGAAATGTCATAATCTTCTACAGATATGTTATTAATATTCCTGAGTAAATAACAACATCTGTGCAGGTCACAGGCTATTTAAATCACTCAGCCAAACATTCCAAGCAAGGTCCACACTTCACTGAATAATTCACCTACTGACATTTACAATGAAAGCTGGCATAACGTTGAAACACCATTAATCATAAATCCACCTACTCATTCATTGATTTGAACCCCGTACCATTATTTCCTTCTGTTTTTTTCCTCCCTTCTTTTCTGCCTTGAGAGACCCAGACTATAGCAATTTCTGAGTGCAGTAGGTAAGATAGCCATCTTACAGAAAGTAGGTGGCCACGCGCTGAGAGCCACAGCAGAGAGATAGGACCAGCGACGACAGGAGTTAGATGATAAAGTCAGTCAGTCACACAGGAGGGGTCCAAACACAGGCAACAGAAAATTCCCCTCGAGGAGGAACTTATCTGATGAAGGGAGTGTGATTGCAAGAAGGGTATATGTGAGGCACCAAACAGCAGAAATGTGATATGGTCTTCACATCTTCACTGTGCTGTATATGGATCAAGTTTGTTTGTTTGTTTGTTTGTTTATTTATTTAAAGTTTATTTTTATGCATCAGAGAAAGCGTGCACATGTTAGAGACAGAAAGAGAGATAGAGAGAGACATCCTTGACAGGTCTCATCATCCTGTAGCTCCTTCCCCAATCCTTCCACTTGTTAGGCTTTTGGATATAAGCACAGACTCTGTGTGTTTTCCATTGACTTGGGAACTGAACCTGTGGCAGGCCGTGTGGCTTCCAGCTATGCATTTGAGCACACTACTGTGTGTACTAGCTAGGCTGGGCCTCGGTCAAAGTCAAGCAGTGTCTTAAAAGACTGATCCCAAGTGAATTTTATCTAGTAGGTTATTGGGAAAGTCATGACTTTTGTCTGTGTTTCTCTAGGCAAAAATACGTCATGACTTTCTTGATGACCTAACGATATCTAGATAATTATGTATGTAAATGTATGTATATATGTATATTGATTTCTGCATACACTTATATGCCTAATCGCACAGACATTTCAAAACCCAAAAACACAAAGTTGAGCTTCTGGGCAGCGCCCTTCCCATAGCTGCAGCACGCCTGCCGCAAGCACTCTGCATCACATTGCCACGGCTCTGTCCTGGCAGAGGGCCCCTCTGAATGAATGAGACTTTGACCCCACTGGCTTTAGAGAAAGACAATTGTTGTGTGAAGAAAACAACAGATTGGAGATTTTGATTCTTTATTATTAGATGATCAATTCCACTTCCTTTTGAAAGGAAACAGAAGTGTTTTATCTTTTTGTGACATGATGAACAACTTCCAAGGATGGAAGAAAAGGATGATGCTAAGGAATCTTCCAATAGAACTAGCACCACTAAGTCAATACGCCAATGACAATGTGACCTTAGGGTTTAATGTTGTTTGCAAAAATCTTTTAAGAGTCTTAGTTATAATGTAAGAAGTTTTGGTAGATATTTTCAGCATTAACGGTGATAAACATGATTAGAATTTCAAATGTATGAGCTGAATTTATACTCATTTAAGGGACTTAAAACAATCTTTAAAATGTTGCCTCTGACACTGATTGTTCCACAAAAGCTGTACCCACAAGACACTAAATATTAAGAGATTTTACAAAATTCTCAAGGTCTATGTCCAGGGGCAACACAAAAAGCCATAAGAATGCTACAAAGGGAATTATTTTCAATAAAATCCCAAATGGTTAAATGGTTTAGTACATATCTTTTCTATTAAAATTAGTTATATCTGGAATCTCCCACAATTTTGGTCCTAAAGAGAGGAAACAAATTACCAATAATAAGAAAGAAAGGAGGTAGGTCTAGAGACGTCAGGCTAGGTATTCTTGTATTAAGAACCTAGCACACTGGGGCCAGCAGATGGCATAATGTTTATGTCACTGGACTCCCATATAGCTGACCATGGTTCGAGTCCAGAACAGGCAGTTTGTAACTCATGCTGAGTTCGTGTGCGTGTGTGCCCAAAAGCCCAAGAGGAGAATGGAGGAGAAGGGTTTGTACTCTACTATGACCATCTCATCTGAAAGAGGGGTGGGTGATTTCTCATTTTCTGTCTCTCTCTCTCTCCAGCGAGTGCATGTGCCCTATAGCAAAAGTCTCTCTTAAAACAAAACCAAAACCAACTCAGCACATATCACACACTGCTGTAGAAGTGGGATAAATATAGGAAAAATAGGTCCTTGACTCCTTCCGCAGTAGCCAGCTGTGTTGCAGCGTGACAGTGTCTGACGTGTGGGCAGTACAGCATGGCCTGGTGCACAGCAGGGGCCTCATCCAGCCAGACCAGAAGCTGGCAGGCCCACAAGGATGGGCCAATGTCTCCCTCGAAATTCAAAAGATAGAGCTTCAGGTGTGAAGACAATGCTTTGTCTTATTGAGCAAGAGCACAAGAAAAGATAAAAAACAAAGCTAAGAAAACCTCCCAAAAGAAGAAATGGAGCAGGGCTAGCCCTATAGCTCACGGATTAAGCAAGGCACGTAGGGAGTCAAATACCAGTTGGCTGGCAGAGGTTCAAATACTGGCCCCAGGAGCTTGTAGAACATACTGGCCACATGACGTATGAGTGCCCAAATTTCAGACAAGAGGGAAAGTAGAGGAACAGGACACTGTAGTGTGACCGCACCTCATGAGAGGACACTTGCGCTCTGTCTCTTGTAAGTGCATTCAACCTTTAGCAATTACAAAATAAAAATTTTAAAATTTAAAAGACAAAATATATATATATATATATTTTGCTTTTTTGCAATAGGGTATATACCACCAGAGAGATACACAGAGGGAGACAGAGAAAGAACATAAGAAACACCCCGTCTGGGATGACCACTCAGCAATCCATTCTCCTCTTGGGATTTTGGGCACACGTGCACATGTACCTGGTTTGTTTCTCACACAGCAGGGGCCTCATCCAGCCAGACCAGAAGCTGGCAGGCCCACAAGGATGGGCCAATGTCTCCCTCGAAATTCAAAAGATAGAGCTTCAGGTGTGAAGACAATGCTTTGTCTTATTGAGCAAGAGCACAAGAAAAGATAAAAAACAAAGCTAAGAAAACCTCCCAAAAGAAGAAATGGAGCAGGGCTAGCCCTATAGCTCACGGATTAAGCAAGGCACGTAGGGAGTCAAATACCAGTTGGCTGGCAGAGGTTCAAATACTGGCCCCAGGAGCTTGTAGAACATACTGGCCACATGACGTATGAGTGCCCAAATTTCAGACAAGAGGGAAAGTAGAGGAACAGGACACTGTAGTGTGACCGCACCTCATGAGAGGACACTTGCGCTCTGTCTCTTGTAAGTGCATTCAACCTTTAGCAATTACAAAATAAAAATTTTAAAATTTAAAAGACAAAATATATATATATATATATTTTGCTTTTTTGCAATAGGGTATATACCACCAGAGAGATACACAGAGGGAGACAGAGAAAGAACATAAGAAACACCCCGTCTGGGATGACCACTCAGCAATCCATTCTCCTCTTGGGATTTTGGGCACACGTGCACATGTACCTGGTTTGTTTCTCAAGCCACTGAGTCCAGGACTCAAACCATATGGAATCTAGCCACCTTAACTACCATGTGACCTAACTAGCTCAAGACATATCTTATAAAATATTTTATTATAAAATGTTTCTAACTAAATAAAAACTTGATCACGGTAAATAATAAAAAAAGATTTAACTATCCATAGTGACTACAGTTTTCTTGGATTTATTTAGCCATGAGCTCAGAGTTTTGCTCATATCTTTTAATTAGGGCAAAGTCACATGGCACTGACTAATTGCAAACAATTCTGGAAGGCTAGCAAATGCAGCTTCTAGGTAAGTAGGTGTACATTTCCACTTGAAAATCATTTTATATTGCCAAAAGCAAAACTGGGAAAAAGGACACTGGAAAACATGTGGCTACCTTTTTTCTACTTATCCCTTCATCTTTAAAGTCAACGGGAGACCCAGAGAAGCAACGAGTTGTATGGAACAGGTAAATAACACATAGAACTAAAGAGTATAATGCATGATATTCTTTTTAACTTAATTTAATCTCTGTACAGCTTTGCAGTGTACAACATGGTTTTTTCTGACCATAAATACAATGCATATTAGTCAAGTTAAAAACTTACATTATCAGTAGCAGATAACTATTCATTTTTATGTCTATTAAATGGATTGTTTGCTTTTCCCTGAACCCCTCCACTCCATCCTTTAATCCACCACCCTATTTAACTTTCCACACTGTGTTCAGTATCTACAGTTGCCCTCCTTGTAATTATATCCTCCAAACTTCTAGTTACTGCTATAGAGCACAGATACTCAGTATATTGAATTGAGCAGAGACATACAATGCCTCTCTTTCATAGTCTGGTTTGTTTCACTTAGCATTTAATCTTCCATATTTTGTTACTTTCTATCAAATGTGAGGGTCTCATTGTTTATGTTTGTTTGTTTGTTTTTTTCTTTAATTTGAGTGAGATTTTTGCTATAGGGTGAGTGTGCTCACCGGACAAACAGAAAGAAGCAGACACAGTGAGAGGGAAAGTGAGAAATCACTCCCCATCCTCGCCCCCCAGAGGATGGCCACCCTGCAATCCTTTCTCCTTTATTTTCCTCCCAAGATCTTGGGCATGCATGCACCTGGGCCCACTGTGATATTCCAGTCACTGGGTCCAGGCCTCAAACTCTGGTTGGCCAAGAGTAAATCCAGTCACATAACCACTATGCCATCTGCTGGCCCCAGGTCACATTTTTATTTTTAATGGCTGAGTACTGTTCCATAGAGTAGATGTGCCACAGTTTTTCAATCCACTTGTCTGTTCTTGGACATTTCCCTTATGATAGATTCTGAGCATGGTTTCCTATGATTTTGGTCATATGTTTTCCTTAGAGAGCTGTACAAAATATATAACTCTCCAAGATTAGCTCTAACAATCAGTTTAGGATTTGGTTTCATTAAATCATACTTATTTAGGGGCTGGCAGGTGGCATGGTGGGTAAGGGCACTGGTCTCTCACATGACTGACAGCAGTTCAAGTCTTGGACTTGGCAGCTTGCTTTCTCACTTTCCCTCTCTCTCTCTCTCTCTCTCTCACACACACACACACACACACACCCACACACACGCTGTAACTCTCAGGTCAAATTAAAATAAATAAATAGATAAACAATCTTAAATAAATATTTTTTTAAAATAATACTTATTCTAACCCAGTGATTTCTCATTGGCTAAATATTCAATTACAACAGAAGACACTTTTTTTTCTTTTTAAAAAAGATTAATTCAGAATACATAGCAGGATTATCATTTTGATTAAAAAAAAAACTTCTTTCTCAAATTTGGAAAGTGTTAGCACCTTACAAAGAAAAACAATATCAATAGGTAATTGAAAATATTTTAAATTATTTTCTCTCTTTAAAATGGACAGGTTTAATTTTTTAAATAGATTTTTGCCATAGGGCATGTTATTCACTGGAGAGAGAGAGACGGTGGGAGGAAAAGGGTGAAATCACCTAGTGGGGCAATGGCCACACAACACTCCTGTCTCCTCCAGTCTCCTCTCAGGATTTGGGGCATGCACACACAAGTGCCTGGAATGATTTTCAAAGTGCCATGTCCGTGACTGGAACTACAGTCTGTTACACGGGAGTCCAGCACCTTGACCACTATGCTACATGTTGGTCCCAGCAGATTTTTTTAAATGAATTATTTTTTTTCATTGATTCCTTTTGAAATTGATCAGAGAGAGACAGAGTGATCAAGAGAAAGAGAGAGAAAGAGAGAGAAGGGGAGAGAGAAAGTGAGAAAGCAAGTCACCAGGTCCAAGACTCGAACCATGGTTGACCATGTGGGAGTCCAGCACCTTTAATAACCATATGACCTGCCGGCCTTCCTGCAGGTTTAATTTTAAAATTGTAAATAGCAAGTACATTTATTAGTTAAGTCTGAATTGTGAGAAAAGTTATGCGATTGTTATTATTCCATAGAAAAAATAAATGGAAGTATAATTTTACTGAAAACCCAGAATAGCAGTTCTCTGTCAACAGAGGTATAATGCCACTTAGACGAGAAGACATGCATGGGAGTAGAACAGATGCCACATCAACTAACAGGAAAGGCTTTGTGAAGGATACAAAGGAAGGTTTATTTTCTTTCCGCTGTAACAAGAATAGCAAGCTCAGACAACAGACACCTGCGCGTATTATTTATAATAGATGAAAAGAGACAGTTATGTAAGTGGTTAGACTCCCATTTACTTCAAGTCCATAGCAGAGGAGGGGGGAAAGAACAGGTGTAGTTAGAAAGCATCTAAAACGGAGAGGGAAAAATGAGTGACTAGTTCCATTTCCACTCTTTTAGCTCTGTGAAATTAAGCAACTTCAAAAGCCTCTAAAATTCAGGGTTTTTAAATTCTATTTTGTTTCATTAAGATTTTGGGTGTACACACAACTGAAGTACATCTTTGCAGGCTGTGGCATGTTTTTTTAAGGCATGTATGTGGCATACAATAAACAAGCAAGACCATACCCATATTCTGATTTTCTTTCTACCTTCCTTCCATCTCAGGATGTGTGCTGCTTAATTTACTAGATGGTACAAAGATGAAGTGAAATTATCAGTATAAAAGGCTTGCCACTCTAAAGTAAAATTGCACAGGGAACACGTGAGCCACAGGAGTGACAGGGCTGTGACAGAACTTGTATTCCCTTTTCACTGAGCTCTGCTTCTTGTCAAAAATATATAAAGTTAGCATTGAAAGAATCCAGCATGTATCTAGGTGATGGGCACTGGATTTCTTAGTGATAGTGGTAGTAGTGATAGAGGAGGAAGAACAGAAACAGAAGGAGCAGGAGGAGGAAGAAGAGGAGAAAGTCGAGAAACACTAAAGCCAGCTTTGCATAGCAGGGGACTGGCAGCTTATATGCTTCAGAGCAGTGGTCGTCTACTCCAGGTTTTGTATCTCAACATTCCAGATGCCTTATTCTCTATGATTATAAAATTATTTAAATCCTATTTATAATATACTATATCTGTTGGCTTCTTTCTTATTCGGTTTTTATTCCCAACCTTTCCCCAAATTTAACATTCTCGCTCATAGTACAGAGTTGGCAGACCATTTAATCAGCTGTCTTGCTGTATAAAACCTTTTACTGGTGTCATAACAGAATACCACAGAAGGGATAATTTGCAAAGAATAGAAGTTCATTTTGCTCACAGATTATGAGTGAATCAAAAACATTACAAACGAAACAAAACAAAATAAAAAACTAAACAGTTGTTTAAATTTAGTAAGGGTGAGGCCAGTGGCTCATTAGTTAGGGGAACTGGGTCCTAC